CAGGCCCCCACACCCACATCCCCTTACACCCCAGCCACCCTCCCCCCACACACAATGCCCCGCAAACCCCATACCCACCCACACCCCACATAACCACACACACACCCACATGCTCCCTCATTCCACACCCACACCTGCCCCCACATAACCCCCACACTAAGAGCCCCTCACAAACCTGTACCTATGTCCCCCACCCCCAAAATGTACAAGAGTAAGACTTCATTTTAAGCTATTGTGCAATCACCTCTATGTACACGACAAAACACATGTAAATCGGGACAAAAATATTTTTTTTGAAATCAAATTAATGAATGTTGTAGATGTCCAGTTTTTAGAATATAATTTGGTATTTTTCTGGTTCTGAGATGGCAAAACCACTTGCTGAAAGAAGTATTTCTGGGGGCAAGGGGAGGGACTTCTGGTGGCAAAGATTGGGGGCTAGAGGGGGTGGGACATCTGGTCATAAAATGGGGACCAGGGGGCGGGGTACCTACCAAGGGTCAGGGCTACCAATGTGGCCCTCAACAGCTTGCCAAAACTCAGTAACCGGCCCTCCACCTGAAATAATTGCTACCCCTGTGCTACTGGCTTTTGTGTCTTTTTGAGACTGATGTCAGATCAGGGTTGATTTATTCTTTTACATGGGGATTGCCCTGTCTGTCCAATGTAGACAGCAGAGGGGCTTTATAACCACGTGACTGCATAAATGACATATACAGAGGTGCAGGTGAATGGCACTTGAATGTTATCCATGTTACTTGTATCAATGATGGTGTGGTTTAAAATAATGAGAGGACACAGCTTACACCAGGGTCTTTTGCAAGGCCTCGTGCCTCATCAAGTATAAAAGAATAGCCTGTTGCTTGAGAGATGCCATTTGAGGTTGGGGGCTGTCCACAAGCCAGGACAGGTTTATCACCCATGGCTACCTTGAGATGGTCACCCTTTTTCAGGAGGGGCGGAGGTCATTAATGATGTGTCCAATATGTTCTAGGTGGGAAATCTAGGCAGCAACAAGAGACTTTCTGTTGTCTTCGTCTCAGGGTTAGTATTGTAGTAGGTTGGAGTGAGGTCTGAGTCGGGCTTTGTTGATTTGAGTGGCTACAATTTTGGGGATTGTATTGTAATTGTAGAATTCCCTGCTCCAGAGACTTAAGGTGTGCATCCTAGTCAGTGAGATCAGAGCAGATATTGTTGTAATGTACAGCTTGGCTGTAGATGATGGATGGATGCAGAGGTATGAACATAGCTGTGGTGCCTGATGGGTTTCCAATACAAAGTGGCCACTGTAGATCTTCATCATAGTGTCTAGGAAATGAATTTTCTGGGGGAAGTATTCTACAGTTAGTTAGACAGAAGGATGGACGTTGTTAAAGGCCTGGTGAAATTTCTCTAGACATTCCTTCCCATGTGTCCATACAATGAAGATGCCACTGATGTACCTTAGGTATATTAGGGGAATAAGAGGGCATCAGGGATGTAGTGGCACAACCTAGTAACCAATGAAAAGCCATAGGAACCCTGCTGCCTACTTCAGTTGTAAGGCCATGACCCTGTGCTTGCTATTATTAGCCATGTGACACAGATTTAAAAAGCATGGATATGCTAGTGTCACATTGCCATTTTACTGTATATCGTAGAATCAAAGGACCGGAAGGGACCTGTAAGATCATCAAATCCAGTCCCCTGCCATGGACAGGAAGTTATTGGGCTCAGACAAGCTCAACAAGCTGCCTTTCCAGCCGCCTCTTGAACAACTCCAAGGATGGTGACCCGCACCACCTCTGCAGGGTGTGTGTTCCAAATTCTGGTAATCCTTAGAGAGAAAAAATTCTTTCTTATAGCTAGCCTGAAATTACCCTCTATAAGCTTATGCCCATTGGTCTTGAGGTGCCTTCCTGAAGATCTGATCACCTAGATCTTGGTGTTCACACCTGTTGTACTTGTAGGCAGCTATCAAGTAGCTTCTCAGCCTTCTCTTACTCAAACTGAACAGATGCAGTTCCTGGAGTCTCTCCTTGTAGGGCCTATCCTCCATGCACTTGACCATGCAGCTGGCCCTTCTTTGTACCCTCTTGAGCTTATCGATGTCCTTCTTGAAATGTGGTGCCCAGAACTGGACACAGAACTCCAGGTGAGGCTGGACTATTCACCAGTGCCGAATTAAGAGGGAGGAGCACACCCCTAGATCTCCTGGCCACACATTGGCTGATGCATGTCAGAATTTTATTTGCCTTTCTGGCAACCTCATTGCACAGTTGGCTCATATTCCTCTTCCAGTCAATTGTAACCCCTAGGTCTCATTCAGATGCTGTGCCAGCCAATGGACCACCACTCATTGTGTAGTTGTGATGAGGGTTCTTCCTACCCAGATGAAGGACTTCGCACTTATCCTGGTTAAATTGCACCTGATTCTTTTCCGCCCAATAGTCCAGTCTGTCAAGGTCATCCTGGAATCTGAACCTATCCTCCAATGTGCTCGCATTTCCCCACAGTTTGGTATAATCCGCAAATATAATCATTGAGCTTTCCACCCCCTCATCAAAGTCATTAATGAATGAGTGTAGACATATACAAAACTGAATACAAGAAGAAACAAAGGATAGCAGGAGAAAGAGAGCAGTAATGTGATTTGCTGTTCAGTGATGATTATACACTTGGCCCACGTTTCAGGGCATGGTCTGGCAACCAAAGTAGGTACCAGGGTCTCCATGGGCTTTTGCTCACCTCATAAGTTCTATGTTCTGGGGTTTTGGGGGGTTTTTTAGAATACTTTGCACTTGTGTGGTACCTTCCAACTTTTAGAGAGTTTAGCAAATTATGGATTAGCTTTGTTAGCCTCAAGTTTCCTCCACTACCAAGTAAATTATGCCCCACTTCCATTTCTTCTGTCTCTGAATGTGGCTTTTATGAAATCACACTCCTATTTTTCCTCTTTTATGATATCTATTTGTCCTCTGCAACTTCCTTTCTTGGTGATATGCCTGTTCTCTAGTCTGTCTCATACTCATCTTAGTTCTCTTCTTTGTCTAGCATGTTCCACACTTAAGAGGAAAGAAGACAAAAGATTTTTCAGGGAATGAGTTGGATCTTCTCTGCTGAGGGGCCTTGCATTGATTAGCCAAAGCCCCTGAGGGAGATTTGAAGGGAATATGTCTTACTTCAAATACAGCATAGCTGCTCCTGTCTGGCTTCCTTATAGCATGAGTTCTGCCTATGAGGTAGGCTGTGCCCAAAAGCTGCATTGGTAAATCAGTGGACTGCAGCAGTCATAAGTGCTGCTTATAACAGTCACACAATGCTACGTAGATGCTGGCATACAGAAGTGTCTCACAGGAGGAACATCCATCCCATAAGCAGCGTTCCGTCTAAACTGTGTGGTGTGCATGGCTGCACAGGTGCACCTGGCAGCGTGGCATGAGTGCACCTGTGCAGCTATGCACACCATGCAGATTAGAGGGAATGCTGCCCCATAAGAAGGTATTAAAAATGGGTTTAGTTATACACATTTAATGTATTAATCTTTCTTTTAACATGGAAAAAGTGGATCTGTTTTTTTCCAGTATTTTAATATCCTAGCCTTACATGCATCATATTTATCATTGGTTGTACAATCTCATTGATACAGTTTGTTTGCACTGAGCTGAGGGAACAGGTTACTCATTCTTTTTGTCTGCAAATTTCTTTAGGAATGTCCCAGTGGGATTGTTAATGAAGAGACCTTCAAAGAGATTTACTCTCAGTTTTTTCCACAGGGAGGTGAGTACTCTACAGTCATAATTAGAATTGTTAACATGTACAGAGAAAGGTGTTTGTTAACATGTAATCCACATAAATCACCCTGTTGTTTAACATAACAAAATGGTTGTATAAAATGTTATATACATTTTATAGGCTTGTTAGTAGATAAAAATGTTTACAAACATGAAAAGATATGCCATTTACAATGTCTCAGTGTGCAGCTAGGAAGACGTGATTGGCACTGGGTATCTTTAAAATCGGGTCTCTTTAAGCAGCTCAGTTTGCTTTAAAGAGCTGGTGCTCAACCTTTTGGCCCTATGGGGCAAAGAAGTGGTGTGGGGCTGGTCCATGGGGCAGATCTAGCCTTAGGGCCTGGCACTGCCCCTTCCCTGCTCCAAGTGCCAAACTAGGACCCTGGGGTCCGGCACTGCCCTTTCCTGTCCCTGTGTGCCCGGAGCCTGGCACCACCCCCTCCTGGTCCTCCACACCAGGTTTGGGCCTCGCAATGCCCACATGTGGCTGGAGCAGAACCTGCACCCAACTTTGCACACTAGGATCAGGAGCCCAGTGCAGCACTCAAGGCTGAAGGCTCCTCACAAGTCCAGAAATTTAGCATGCACTACTCCCCTGCCACTAAATTTCTGGACCCATAGGGAGTCCTGCAGGCCAAATGACATAGTGTTACTGGCCAGGTCTAGCCCACAGGCTGGGGGTTGAGCACCTCTTCTTGAAGCTTTGTATATTGGTATGTTTTTACCAGTCCATGTTCATTCCCCTCTACAAAATTCTATAACATTGGAATTTAAAACTGCAAGAGGTAGTTTAAATATGTGGGCCAAATTCAGATCTTGTGTAAATGGGTTAAATCCCACTTACACCTGTGGGGTTTCTTTGTTTTCACTCGATTTGTTCTGATCCTCTGTGTTCAACAAAGTCATTTCTAGTGGTATTCAGCAATTTGTGGTTGTCACTATCTTTCAGGTTAGTAAAAGCTCTTATGACTAATGCCACTTTCCCTCTGTACCTTAGATTTTCCCTTAGTTTTTAAGGGTTTCTTCCTTTTTCTGCCTCTCCCCTCCTTACTTATTTTCCATTCAGTCATCCCTCTTCACCTCCTCCTACAACTCTGGAGAGTAGCATGTTTCCATGGAACTGTGAATGGCTGTTACTTTACACTTGTATTTAAAAACTTTAATTGGCAGCAATAAAACTCTCCCAATTAATTTTATTTAAATAAAAGCCTAAAAGAATGGTAAAGAGTAGTGTGGGTTACCCTTGCTGAAATCCACAGAAAGCATAGATAATCAACAGGAAAAATAAAAAATGTAAGAAAAGTTGAGTTGCCTGCTAATTATCTGTCTATCTAGGGTTTTATACCATGCTGGGAATTAGTGTGCCAGATACTGTACCTTTAAATTACACTTGTCTGTAAAAAGCAACTTTTCTCGGTGTAATATACCACACAAGGTAAAAAGCTGAGGAAATGTTCCAGAAATTTTCTGTCTCAGATATTTTAACAAATAGGTATTATCCAGACTAGACTAGCATAACTCAACTTTGAAAAAATCACTTATTTGTTTTGACTTTGTTTATATTTTGTTTAATGTGCTTCACACTGAACTGAGTTATGAATGTCTGAATGAAATTAGCACATAATCCAGTATTTTTAGGAGCTTGCTAACAATTACTACTACAAACAATTTGTATGCATACATAGAATGTCTTTACATTCATTATCCCCAATTCTAATACATTGGATCATCTTCTGTTTTAGAGATGCCAAGATTAGTTTTAGTTTTAGTGTTGGCAAGAAAGAGCCAAGACAACCTTGCCAAGTACCTTAATAAACTCACTGGCTTTATTAACAAGATAAGAATAGTGATCTGTCTGCCTGTCATTCTTGGTTTACAGATATTCCTTTTTCAGTGAATGATAAATGAGGTTTTTAACAGCATTCAGTGTTGTCCTAACCCTACTCACATTAAAGGGAATGGTAAAAGTGGCACTGACTTCAGCAGAAATAGAGATAGACCAATGCAGAGTTATTTTTAAAAATTCTGTCTGGCAATTTTTTATCTTTTATAAAAGCCAAGCCAGCTCTATAGCCAAATATGAGAGGGAAAAAACAAAAAACACTCAAATAATCCTGTTGTTGTTTCATTTTAAAGTAGTAAATTCAAACCAGTTTTATGTCAGTCAGTTCCACAGAAGCACACCAGACGACAGCCTAAGAGCTTATTAAAATACCCTTTTAATTTTTTATGGCCCACAGATGGATAAATGATCCAGAAACATATTTTAAAGAATGTCATCTTCCTTCTCCTTTCAGTCATACTTCACATATTTAACAGGCTTGCTGGCCTAATTATTAGGAGTCATTAAAATGATTAGGTGATAGCTGGTATGACAAAAGAGAACTCTTCTTTAACTACCTACTACAGCTTTAGTCTTCTAAGCAGAGTTAAATATTAGTATATTGCTAGAAGAACAAGTACAGTACAAATTGACACCTCAGTTTCAATTTTTATTGTGAAAGAATATTTTCAGTTCACTTAAATTTTATAATTTGTTTTTAAGAGACGGATTTTATAGTGCAATTCGCACATAAGCAGAATTCCCACAGAGGGTTGCTCGGGTAAAGATTACAGCATCCAGGGCTATTTCAGTAATTTCCATTAGTTTAGGAAAGCGTCCCTGGTCCTTTGGGAATTACTATTCTTCTTGTATAGCTGTTCTTAGATATTTTGATCCTGCAGGCCAGTCTAAAAACTGCGAAGTGATCTGCTTGACCTACAGAACCAGGCAAGAACCCACAGGTTCCTCTATTCCAGCCATTCCAAAAAAACGTTCTTTTTACAATGCACTAGTAGTGATAACAACACCCCACTTCTTAAGATAACTGTGGTGCTCTCTGGTGGCCACTTAATGCCCATGCCTCACTCTGTCTTACTAGCATACTGCCCTTTCTTCACCTGCATTACTGTTGGCAGCTTGCAGCGCCCAGTCACTGCAGTCCTCCCCCAGGGCCAGACTGACTTCTCAGCCCAGGACCTCTGTTTATAACCTCTGCTTCCTTCTCCCCATGGGTTCTAAATTACTAATTAGCTAGCTTACATCTCTTCATCCTACACTACTGAAGCTTCTCTGCTTGAGTAAGAATGAGAGGTTCCTTGTAGGGCTGTGCTAAATTAGTAAGTCACTAATTTGATTTAGCAGAGATTCGGCCTGATTCAGCAGCCAAATCTCCGAATCCAAATCAAATCAGGAGACGCTTTAATCTCTCTGAATTGAATCAGAACCCTCTGAATCGATTCGGAGAGATTCAATGATTCAGACATAGACACGGCTTTAAATGCTTTTTCTACATGCCTCAAGATACTAGGTGGCTCACGAATGCTGAGATGGTGGGGTAGATGGAGTGTCACATAGGAGTGCAGTGGGGTCCCCTGTGCGCTTGGCGGCAGACCCGGAAGTGGACAAGAAGCACTTCTGGTCCACTTCCAGATCTGCCACGGAGTACATGGGGGACCCCCGCCCCCCCAACCCCAGGCTTGTTGACACTGGATTTTAGGAACCTAGCCTTTTGTTCTGGGTGGGCACAACCCTCAGACTGACCTCAACACCTGCCAGTTGATAAAGGGGAGTTTATTGATACAGAGTAAGACCAAAAAAACAACAATACAAACAATCAAACAATTTTATATTTACCGATTCAAGGGCTGTCATCAGAGTCAAAGTACATCTGGTCAGGGTAGAGGCTCCACTCTGAGGCTCTCTCTCTTAGGTGTCAGCAGTTTGGAGGTGGGATGCTGAGGCCCACAGCACCGCTCCAGTGGGGAGCATGAGAGGGGCTGCTGGTATGCCCTCTGTTCATGGCAGCCTTGGGGACTGTTCTCGGGGAGGAGAAGAAGGACGAACCTAGGTGGGGGACAGGGAGGAACAAAAAGGAACAGGGAGAGACAGGAGGGATGGGACAAAGGGAGACACCCTTTGTTACTCCCAAGTCTCTGCTTTTGTATTCTCCTTCCCCCTTGATGACTCCTGATGTCTCTTCATCCATGGCTTCTCTGGTTGGTAGTCTCTCTGTGGTCACACATCCACATAGCCTTCCAGGCTTTCTCCTAATTTGGTCTGTTTCCCCAAAACCAGGACTTAGGCCCCCCTGCTCTCTGAGGTCTTGTTGCTAGTGTCACTTATCTTATGTTATGGGACAGTATGGTACATACTTCCTTTGGTTCCCAGGCGGTTTTCTAGACTATGTGTCCTTGTTGGCCTGGGGGGGTTATACAACCTGTCTGCCTTGAAGGCTGTGATCTTGTGTTATGGGATGCCCCCCGCCGCCACCATTTCTCAGGATATGTCTGTCCATTGGTCTTGTTGTGCTAGACAGCCTATCTGCTCGCAGGGCCATGAGAAGCTGTGTGTGTCTGCCAAGCTCTTTATAAATCCATTTAACTCCTGCTACCCATCCTGAACCCTTACAATGAGTATATCTATACCTATAAGCCAATTCCCCAAAACACAGGCCTTTAAGTGTCATGTTTAAGCCAACATATTCCCCTCCTTGAAGATGTATCTCCACGCTATACTGAAGCATAATCACCGGCATGGCCTGAAATGTTCATGACATCTGTGGGGAGGACCTCCACCTGTCATCTCAGGAAAGTATGATGGCATTCGAGGTTATGGGCTCCAGCAGGCTGGACGCTTTGAAGAACCCTTAACCATTGCTTAAATGTTGCCAATACCCCTTCTAACTCAGTTTCTTGCCTCAGCATTCCCTAGCCCAGCTACCGAGTTTTAGCCAGTTAGGTTTAAATAGGTCTCCCATACTGGGACTGTGGAATGTACAGCCCAGGAGGCCTACTAAATCTTTTACTCAGCATTTCGTATAGCATGTCACTCCACAGGTAGTGTCTTATCTGATTATCAAAATGGCTATTCAGGTAAGAAAAACATTTCATGGTCAGAATCTTTGGGGACCAGACATGTCCTTGGCAACTTTATCCCTCCTTAGG